CACTACTGGTGTTTGAGAATGGAGGGACGGCGCAGGAGAGGAAGACCCTCGATGAGATGGATCGATTCTGGGAGTGGAGTGGTGGGAACGAATTTGTTTGAGACGGCGAGGTTGGCACAGGATAGAACGGCATTTAGGGCTTTTGTACATAGGGTCACTGTGAGTCGCAAACGACTCGATGGCACATAACAACAACAAACAACTGGTATTTGTGGTCCCATCTTGTCTTTCTGAATCTCCTGCAGTGAGGAACACAAGACCATTCTGTTAGGTTTTCTAATACAGCCTAATCACTTCTTGGTAAAATGGAAAATAATCAGCACTGATGAATGTAGGCGGATACCTGCTTCATGCTGCAACAGGAAAGGGGTGAGTGAGCAGGGCCGAAGGGATCTCAGGACCTCAGGCTTTATCAGCCTTATGGCTTATTCAATAGTGGCATGCAAGACAAAGGACTTCCCATGGATCTCTGAGTCAGGCCTCTTGAACACCAACAGAACCCTCAAAAGTGGCTTTCCAAGAAAGCAGAAGCCAGTAATAGGAGGAAAACAAGTATTTCTTCCTTGCTTGTAGGAGCCTCTATGAATTGCATTGGGCAGTTCCTTAGCATGAGGATTTTAGAAACATTTGAGCCCGCTCTGTACAAGGGCCTTTGACAGCTGTTTCATGATATAATCAGATGACCATCTGGCAACAAAGTGAGTCATTTCACCCTGCTTACTTCCTTTTTAACATTTACTATTATTTATAACTTTTTTTTTTTTAGTTACTTACTTTCTACCTTTCTCCTCAGACTGAGCTCCATGAAGGCAAAATCTATGTTGTTTTGTCCCCAGTGTCTACTAGATTCTTACACAATGCATGGTATGAAGTAGTTATTGTTGGTGTGTACTGTCAAGTTGTAACCAACTCATAGATGACTCTCCAGAGAGATTTCAAAGGCAGAAAATCCCACGGGAGGAGAGTGTTCACCTTTCTCTCACGGAGCAACTGGTGGTTTTGACCCATGTGCCTTTGGGTTGGCAGTGCAACTCCTTACCTCCAGGCCACCAGAGCTTCCTTACTGGTACAGAATAAGTGCTTACTAAGTATGTGGTGCTTCATTTAGTAAAGCCAAGATCCCAGTCAAGGGCATGAACATACTTTCCCCAGAAACCTCCAGCTCAAGAGCATTTCCCAAGATGACTGAACCCGCCTCACCTTTGCACTTTATTCTTGGTGTTGCTTGCAAGTCCTTCCATCAAAACAAGGTTTCTCTTTGAAAATTGCCCTTGGTCCTAAATATTGTGTAACCGGGTGAGACACCTTGTTTTTAATTTTGGTTTCATGATTCATTTTGTTGTTGTTGTGTACTGTTCAGAACCAACTCATAGCTGGCCCTCCAATGAGTTTTCAGAGACAGTGAATTTTTAGATGCATGAGCGCAGATTGCCAGTCTTTCTCCTGTGGGGAAGCGGATGGGTTCAAACTGTGTGCCTTTGGATGGGCAGCACAACTCCTTCCCACCAAGCCACCAGAGCTCCCTAGTTCATATTGTTATTGTTATTGTTATATGCCGTTGGGTCAACTACAACTCATAGCAATCTTATGAATAACAGCTCTGAACTTTGTCCTATCCTGAACCGTCCTCACTATCTTTGATACAGTTGACCCCATTGTCAGTCCAACTCATCTAGGGTCTTCCTCTCCTGTGCTGACCCTCTGCCTTTCCAAGCATGATTCCTTCTCCAAGGGCTGCCCTCACTCTGGCAACATGTCCAAAGTATGTGAGACAGATTTTCAAAATCCTTACTTGTCTTCAAGAAGTATCTTGTTTTCATCCTCTCCAGTTCAAATTGTTGTTGTTGCTAATTGCCATTGAGTTGAAGGCGATGTATAGTGACCCTATAAACAAAAGACCTGAACACTTGTATAACTTTCATTGTTTCTCCAAGTTCATAGGGTTTCCAGAGGCAAGCTATTGTGGAAGTGGATGTCACTGTTGCTTCCAAGCTTGTTTTAATTGGGGAGCTCCACCAAACACTGTCCACCATGGGTAACTATTATCACACTTGACATATCAGCAATCACAGTGTTTGACATCACAGCAACCATGAGTTACCTCTGTACAGCAAATGGACAGACCAGTGCTATACCACTTAGAAGAATGTTTGACCAAAACCAAAACCAGGCCTGAGGGCCACAGATTAAAATCACCTACCTTTGGCTTGGTAACATCACTTTCTGTCCACTAGGCCAACTTCATATTATGAAGTTCATACTAGGACAGTTCATATTAGATTCAGTCAAATCTGAGATTTGTCATATTTCATTAAGAACCGAATAATAACCCTTAGTTTAAAATGTTGAAATGCTTTTGAAACAGCAGCCATTCCTTGCTTTTGGCACCTCCAATTCAAAGGGAGTGTTGTTTGTCTAGTTCGGTGTGCTTTTGGCAGGTCAGGGTTTCCAGTGAGATTTACTGAGTTGTGTAAAGAAGAATTTGGAAGAAATAATGATTGTGTTTGGACAACTACTTCCCCAAAATCTAAAAATAGTCTGTGTTGAGCTCTCTACCAAATACAAACAATGAAAACCAAACAAACCATCCCAAGCACACAAACAATGCTGATATTTGTTGGTGAGTTTGAATTTCCCATAACCTAGATGACAACTACCTTCAACATCTTTTCTAAAAAATTGATTTTAATGAAAGTTTACAGAGACTTTGGATTTCCATTCATTCACTGTTGCTCTCTTATCCCTGCTGACCCGTGTCCCCGCAATTTGCTTTTCTCTTTGAAAAGTAAAAGAAAAAAATATTTTATTGTTATTCAATCCCTACCCCCCAAGTCCACTCCATTATGCTACCTTCATTCTGGACTCCTGTCTTAACAATAATATCTAATCATCTTTTGAGACCTACAGTACGAGATTGAGTTTTCACATGGAATAGGCCTTCCAAGGCCTCTTGCCTATAACATCCATTCACAAACCTCTTCCTAAGATTTTTTCTTTTGAGGTTTTGTTCCTACAGGTGAAGTGAAGGCCTGTCTTCTACCTGAAATTTTCCTGACTAACCTGAAGAATGATTGTCTTTTCATTTCCTAGAATTGACTAGTCTGTGTGTGTAAAGACAAGACTAGCAATTACTCTGGAAAGAACGACAAGCTTTCCATTCTAGAGCTTTTTAACGAGGTTGGGTTGTGTGCTTCATGGGGACAAACACTGTATCTTATTCACCAGTGTCTCTCTGGTGCCTGACACATAGTAGGCATTCATGACATAGCTGTTCTGTGCATAAATGGGTGCGAGGAATGGCTGTTCACCTCACTATCTTTTGGGGAATGTTAATTCTTAGAATGTGAAAGCTAAGACATAATTATTCCATCCTACAGTAGTTCTACAGGTCTACTCAGAACGGTATCATTTAAATTGTAACCTTACCAACTTCTTGTCCGTGTTTCCAATCACTTCTATGTGAACTTTTTTTACATATATCATTTTATATAGTTTATTCATAGTTTGTTGTTGTTGTTGTTGTGTACCATCTGGTCAGGACCTACCCATAACTGACCCTTCATCAGGTTTTCAGAGACAGTAAGTCTCATGGGAGGAGATTGGCCATCTTTCTCCTGCAGAGCAGCTGCTAAATTCAAACCACATACCTTTTACTTAATTAGCACAATTCTTTACCACTAAGCCACCAGAGCCACTATTATAATAATATTATAATTTTATACAATAAATAAA